ATCTTCAAGCCACTGTCATATCATTTAATGCATTGAAAGGAGTAATTTCTTCTAAGTTTCCTTTTGCATTTCAATTGAAGTTTGAATTGTCTATTTTATTGACTTAATTTTCCCATGCTTATCAAATAAAGTATAAAATAGTTTATGATTTTAAGAAAGTTATTATTTTAACTCCTGATTCATTGTACATAAATGGGAGAGATGAATTCATATATAAAATAAAACAAATATTTACTGAAAAAGAGATCAAATCATGTAAAGAGTGATGAAAAATTGCACAGTATCCTTTGAAGAGATGCCAAAGATACAAAAAGATATATAGTAAAATGGTCTACTTTTAAGATAGCGTTCTAGCAAACAGTTTCAATTTAATATGTATTTTATCTTCAACTATTCCAGTGGGGTTCTTTGTGTATTTCAATCACATCCTATCAACTGATCCCCAATAGTTTCTTGTTTCATATATTGTAGGTCTTATAGCATCCTTAATTAATATTCAGGCTTCAAGGTGCTATTTATTAAATTAGGGATACAGCCCACCCAATTAATAAATTATTACTTTGGAGGCACACTTGTCTTCTGAATGTATAAATGCATCACTTAAATAACTCTCAGGGAATAATTTACACATGAAGAGGCTCTGGTGATTAAAAAAGCTGTGTGCACTTCTTATTTCTGGAAATATTGTTGGACTAGGTACTTAAGTGTAAGTAGTAATGATTCTTACTATTTTAGTGTTCCTAACAATCCTAGAATCATGAATTGGATACAATATTAAACGTGTAATGTTCTAAATCAAACATTTCATAAGAAAGAGGGAGACAGTTTCCACAAAGAGAATATACATATGGTCTTGAAAAGACCTAGGTTTCTTTCATTGTGGGATTTGTTTTTCCCCTAAAAAGAACTGCAAAAAGTGAACATAGCAAATATTTCAGATCAAGGAAAAGGAAAGGAGGATTTGGTTGCCATTGCAAGAGAAACATACACTGCCCTTTTAAAGTATTAAAAGAGAACTGATGGGCTTCTATTCTTGTGTCACTGTTTCTCTTGTCCTTGGGTTGTTCATGTCAGATTTCTATGTTGCTTGTTTATATGTGACACATGTCTCTATCTCAGATTTAGGTATAATGAAATAAAAAAAAATAGTTTTGGTAAAAATTTTTCCTTGAATTATAAATTCTGTGACAGTATGGATGCAGTACCCAGAGAAAGTGTGCCATTGCGCAGAAATAATCCTTACTTATTCTGAGAATACTTTTTTTTTTTTTTTGATAGCAGGGATTGAACTGAGGGACGCTTGACCACTGAGCTCATCCCTATCTGCTTTTATTTTTTGAGACAAGGGTCTATGATAGGTTTCTTGGGGCCTCACTAAATTGCTGAGGCTGGTCTTGAACTTTCAATTCTCCTGCCCCAGCCTCCCAAACCAATGAGATTACAGGCGTGCGCCACTGTACTTGGCCTGAGAATAATGTTCACAAAAATGTCTGCTTACTGTTTATTCCATTTTATTTTTTTTCCTGTTAATTTTACCTTTCCCCAAATCCATATAGCAAAAGATGGGCAATTAATTATTTGAGTTGTGCATCAATAATCAAGGTAAATAGATTAAATTTATTTTACAGTGCTCCTTCAAACCCTAATTACACTTTAACAGTACTCCCTTTGTTCTGCCAGAAACTTTCAAACTGTCCTCAACTTCCAAACTCAACAGAACAATTGCAAATGACAAGGCTTGAGCTAGCATGGGGTAGTGATGCACACTTGTAATCCCAGTGACTCTAGGGGCTGAGACAAGAGAATCATAAGTTAAAGGCCAGTCTCCACAATTAACTGAGACCCTGTCTCAAGATAAAAAGAGGATATAGCTCAGTGGTAGAGTACCCTGGGTTCAATCCAGTCCCAAAATAACAGTATCAAAATAACAGTTTTAGGACAGTGGTGGTGCTGGTGGTCTTGATTAGGAATTAAGATCTGCCATAGATACTGCTGTCTTTTATTCTTCAATACAATTTTTATTTGATATGATGTCAGTTGCTTTCTATTCTTCTCCTCTAATTAACTCCTTGGTGCTTTATATTGTGCTACACACTACAGTGTGACTTTTGGTAAGATACTCATTCTTTGGATAGGTGGAAGGTTTTATCCCTCATCACCTTCATTTTAATTATTACTATTATTATTTGGTATTTATCAATGAAGTGTGTCTTAATGAAGTATGTCTTAAAAATTGCAATATATTTTCTATAATTACATTGTCAAGTACTCAAAAGGTTGTTTGTACATCACTGAAAGTGTGAGATTTCCAGGTATGCTTGATAGGAAATTAATGTTAATCTTGTTTTGATTGCTTTTAACTGACAACTTATTAAAATAGGTATAAACATTACAATAAAAGACTGGGCTAAATTCCTTTGTTCAAAGTTGAAACTAGAGTATTCTGGGCTGTGTTTTCTTTCTTTTCTCTTGGTCTCAGTCTTTTTGTTGTAAAGGGGTCACTTAAGGACAACCGTGAAAGGAATCCGTGCGCCATCTACTGACGGAATTTAAATTTCTACCGTCTGGAGATTGGTAATTCCCCTACACTCGGATCTTTGACAAAGGAGGGGTACTGGGGAAAAACCTTTTCAGGATCTGTGGTTTATTTGTAACTGCTGTAATAAATCTGAATCCGAAAACAATATAATCCATAAAAGAGACATCAATCTCTCGTGCAAAACAAGGATTGAAGAGAACCCCAAAAGAGCTAGGAAGGCATTAAGAGAAGTTAGCTAAACACTGAAATCAACTCAAAAGGGAATGGGATTGTTGTTTTTTCACCTGTGTCCTAAGTCATACTCACTGCTAATGGTTACTGCTTAATAGGAAATGACTTTACTAATGATACATCTAGATAATTTTCAGCTTCTGGATATTATTATCCAAAGAACTCTCCAATTTGATCATTTTATCAAAACTTTTAAGAATGCATAGCAGGTGGGTTCACCCTTCACATCACTACTTTATATACAGCTTGTCTATGTGCATGTAAACTTAGTCCTTACAACACAGCTTCATATACACCTACAAGATGATATGCACTTATGTAGCTGTGATATGAACTTACCTACAAAAGGTTTGTAATTAGTTGAGAAGTCAAAGCCCTTGGATTTGGTTTAAAATGTCTCTCTCCCTAGTTCCTTTCTTTTCTGTAAGATAAATCCTGCAGAAGAGTGGAAAGAATTGGAGTCCTCAACCAAAGAAGTTTTGGGGTTGTAATTGAGAGAGACAGAGGGAGTAGCAGTTCAACGGGATCAAACTACTGGAGTTGAAAACTTGTTGGTTTGGAGATTAAAGCTGGATGGAAGTGGTCACAATACAATTCCCATTATATTTTTATGAGCAGCGGGGAGACCTTAACGTGAACAGCAAGGACCTTGGATGCCCCAGGTAAACTCCTCCCCAGTATTCTGCTGACTTCAATCCAAGGGCCAAGAAAACTTGCTTTCATTTGTCTTAAGAAGGAAAGAGAAAAGTGGGAAGCAAGAAGGTTCAGACAGAAAGTGGAAGGAAGACAAAGGGGAAAGGTAAGGAGAAGGGAAGGAAAGGTTCCAAAAGAAGTTGGCAGACGAGAGAAAAGGGGGAGTAAGATAAAGAGAAAAGATAAAGGTGTGTGTGTGTGTGTGTGTGTGTGTGTGAGAATTAAGGGCTAGGAAGATGCAGTGATCTTTGTTTAACGAACCAAAGTCACACCCATCTTTCATTTTCATATCAATAGTCTACATCTTATCCGTTTCCTTTTCAAAGGCTGTCTGCGTTTCTAAAAGAAACTAGTCGCTACTCCTCCCTGCGCCCCACGCGTGGCCGCGCTATTCGGTTCACAGCCACTGAGACAAAACACAACTGGAATGGGAACATTTGCAGGACAACGACTGTGGGAACAATCCCGGCGACTAGTTGTCACCCGGGAGCCTAAATGGATTAATACTCAGAGATGGATTACGTTGGCTGTCACCAATATGCCTGAAGATTATAATCCAATTTATGCACATTACAGTCAGTATTAACTTTATCTGCTATTTTAAGGCTCCCAGTCGTCCCGCGCGTCCTCAGAGGTTAGTCCTCACGTTCTGATGCAACCCAGCAAGCTGTCAGGAGGGGAAGCCTCACGAAGAAAACAACTCCAAGCCGGGTCCCCAAGTGTCTGCACCAGGCATTCCCAGGTGTCTTTCCTTCACCTGGGCACCGCTTTGTGAAGCTTCGCAGCCCGGGATAACCAAAGCGGGAGGCATTCTCTAGGAAGGAAATAGTATTCTCGTTTCTAGTTCATCTCATTAAAAGGAGAAAAAAAAAAAAATTCGGTGGCGGTAGTAGAAGGGCGGGGAGTGAGGATGGTGGGCGGGTGCTTGTGAGTAGATAGGGAAGGGGGCCAGGGGATTGTAGCTGGTTGTAACAGTCTCAGCGATTGCTATTTTGATGCTTGTTTTTTTGAAGGGTGGCATTTCTCTCGCTTTCTCTTTAAATAAGTTTGTTTGGGTGTGAGTTCTTGCCTTTTCAGCACAAAAGCACTGAGAGAGATACGTGGTGGAAAGTAAAAGAAAGCCCACTCCCCCCTCCCCGAACGTGCTAACTAACGCCAAAGACTTGATTTAACACCCCTTCTCCGGCTGCTCTAGGCAGTGGCTACATTCCAGCAGTTTTAATCCGTTTTTTATTGTAGGCGAATGGAGTTTACACAGAGGCTGGGATGGCTCCCCAGCTGGCCGCTCTCCCCACTGCAGAGCCCCCTCCTTCCATTTCCTCCCCACCCCCGAGCAGGAACCTGTTACTTTAAGCAAGGCGTTCCAGTGTGGCGCTGCGGGCCGCCGGGGTTTCGGGAGGTGGCCGGTGATTGGCTCTTTCGAGCTCCCCCTGGCTCGCTCGCTCGGCCTCCCCGCGCGCTCCGCCCCGCCCGCGCCCCCTCCCTCCGCCCCTTGAGGCTCGGAGCCCGGGTGTCAGGCGCCACGGCGCATGCTCCGGAATCATCCTCTGGCCCTGGAGCTGCTGCTGCTGCTGCTGCTTTTGCTTTTGGGGCTGAGTTTAATAAGCGAGCGAGCAAGCGAGCGCGGGGGAAAAAGGCAGAGAATGACCGCCGTCTACCCTCCGTTCCTGGGCGCGCTCTCATTCATAGCAGCCTCTTCATGAATTACAGCTGAAGGGGGCGGGGGAGGGGGGTACCACACAACACCCCAGCAAACCTCCGGGCCCCCAGGCATGGCTAGCTCGGTAAGTACTTGCAAAAACAATAATAAAAGACCTCCCCCCCCGCCCCCCCCGCCTTCCCTTCTTCGCCCTGCGCCGCCGCAGCCCAGACAGCGCCAGCGCTCCGCGGTTCCAATTAGAGAAAGGTTGGTACGGCTTGCAGGGAGCTGCTGCCTCTCCCTCAGCCTCCGCTCTCCTCCTTCCCCCCTTCCCCCGGCGCGCGCGCGCGCGCACACACACACACACACAGACACACACTCACACACACACACACACACATTCGTCCCTCCACCCCCCCCGCGCCTCCCTCCCTCTTCGCCTCTTTGCAATCACAAGAAGCGCACTCACACACTCCCTCTCGCTCACACGCGCGCGCGCGCACGCACACACACACACACATACACACACACACACGGTGGAAGGAGGCGAATAATAACTCAGCCATATTTCAGCCGCCACCGCCGCCGCCGGGAGCTGCGGGCACAGTCCGGGGACGCGGCGGGCAGCCTCGGCGGCCGCACCTCCGTAAAGCACCGCGGCCGCTACGATGGTGCGTTCTCCGCGGCGCGCGTGTGTGAGCCGGAGTGTGCGGGCTGACAGCGGCGGGGCTGCACGCAACTTTGCCCCAGCGCCCGGCTGTGCGCAAGCCGAGGCTCGGCTGGTGTCTGCCCGCCGCCCTGCCATTCCGAATTTCATTTTTTGGGGGGAGGTAGGAGGTACTTTGGGGCCACTTTGGCTCTTGAAAGTGTGTTGCGGGGGCTCTGTTCGGCTGGCCTTGCCGATCTCGTGGGGCTTTTCGCTGAGGGGAGCCGGGTGCTTTAAGTTATGGATGCCTCGGCGTATTTTCTTGCGTGTGTGTGCGCGCGCGTGTGTGTTTGTGTGTGACGACGTCTCATTTTTGTTGTTCACGAACCCCGTGGTAAGAGCACGGGAGTTTGTGCCCATCAGCAGAGGCTGCCTGTAGTTTCCATTCCGCCTGGCACAGCGCTCCACACGCACGCACACACACACGTACACAAAGACTTCCTCGGCGTGTGCCTGTCGCCGCGGTACTTTCGGGGAGGGGGCCTCGCCAGACACCCGCCGTGCCCCAGGGTCCCAGCCACCTCCTCTCCCACGCCGGGAAACCACCCCGGCATTGCCTTCTAATTGTCTTCTAATTTGTTACCGATGCATTTGTTGTGGTGCTTGTCGTGGCTGTGTTCTCCCTCTCCCCGCGACCCCCTTCCCGACTGGGGGTAACATTCCGTTACAATCCCGGCGGGTGTGGATGAGGGGCCCAGGGCGCCTGGAGTCCCACCCGCGGGGCCGGGTGTGTTTGGGGGCGTGGGGGGTGCGTGCCCACGCGCGTGAAACGTGGATGCAGAAGGCACTGCCGTTTCCTTTTATGTGCGTTTCAAGAAGGAGGAAAAAAATGTCAGGCGCAATGTTCAGTAGCGAACGGTCGGTCGCCTTCCTGTTGTTCACCGCTGTCTCTCCTCCCCCTGCCCGCAGTGTGCCGTGCAGGTGAAGCTGGAGCTGGGGCACCGCGCCCAGGTGAGGAAAAAACCCACAGTGGAGGGCTTCACCCACGACTGGATGGTGTTCGTGCGCGGCCCGGAGCACAGTAACATACAGCACTTTGTGGAGAAAGTCGTCTTCCACTTACACGAAAGCTTTCCTAGGCCAAAAAGAGGTAGGGCTCGAATACAAAAGAGGCTTGATAAAAAATGTCTTTGCTCAGCGAGGAAACAATCGCTTGGCCCGGGCGGTCCTCCTGCCCCGCTCCCCGCCCCCCGCGCCGCGCTGCTCGCCGCGTAGCCTCGGGACTTGGGTGCGCGGCGCCGCGCTGGCCAGGTCCCGGCTCCCGCCCGCGCGCGCACGCGAGCCGGAGACTTTGGTTCGTGAAAGTCACCGCAGAGAAAGGACCGTCAGGTGTCGAGTGTTTATTCATCTCAAGCCAGTCCTCACCGATCCTCTGGGGTTAGCCACGGGTTCTGTGGGGAAGGCGCAATTAGTTGTTCGGTTTGGAGGTTTGAGGGGTGGGGCTGGAAGGAATAAATAGTTTGCGCTTTTTTTTTTTTTAAATAGAGAAATTGAGATTTACCTGTGTTGTTAAGCAAAGAACGCATTAGATGCAATTATTGTTAGGTCTTGAGAAGTCGACTTTCTTTAGGGTCTTCTCTGCCTTCCTCTCTCTCTGAGGCACTGGATGCCACTTGCCATAGACTTTTCTTTTGGGGGCTTGGCTACCGACACACCCTGCCCTAGTCAGGATTTTATTTAGTTGGGGGCTTATTTGCCTCCTTCTCCGTAGTGGCACTTGGCTGCTTTGACTTTGAGCTGCCTTCCTAAGTGTCTGCCAATGTGATCGGCAGGGAGAGGGTTCCTTCAAAGGTCTAAAGCTAAGTTTCAGAGAAATGATGTTGTGTTACCTATTTTTTTTTTTTCAGTTCTTCCCTACCTTGACTTACTTAGCTTTGGAATCCAGTTTGCATAATCTTGTTGAGCCTCTGCCGTCCCAAACATTTTCCATAAAGGGCAGGACAGTTTTAGAAAAGAGAAAAAAGGGTGTCATTTTAAAATAAAATTAAAGGGAGTTTGAGAAATCCTGGTTTCTATTCCCTTCAACCTCTGGAAAGCTACTGTCTGGTTGTTTTAGTTGGATTAGTAGAGGTAACAGTACAAATACAATAAGGTGCTTTGTTTGTGAGCAGGTTTATTTATCTAAGTCGACACAATGGTTAGTAGTTATCTTCCATTTGATCCGTAATCTTTATTGGCATCTAGAACTCCTGCAGTTTCTTAGAGTAACATCATAATAAATCCATTCTGCTTAGAGCTACGGGGAAATTATTGAATATTCAGGGCTGAATAAAGAAAGGAGAAATGCTGTGTGTCTTAGAGGTGGCAGTTTGTCTTGGTGCTTATTTTTGTTTCCAGTGCTCATGTAATGGAAAGGAGGATTGTATTTTTATGCCTTTACTGGTTTAGTTTTTAGTTCCTCTTGAAAACTTGAACAGTTGAATTTGATGGGCTTTGTTGGATGGTTAATAAATGCATCCAGCATCTAGAAGAGAGTTAGAAATATACATAGCTTACAGGAAATGATATTTAGTATTTATTAGCATTTTATATCAAAATATAGACAGAAACATATTATATTGCCTCAACCTGTCATGAGGATGAGCATTGTCAAGTTTCTGTCACTATAGGCGGTTGGATGTGATGCTTCATGGAATCTTTCTCTCTCTGTCTTGCCATGTGTCTGAAGAGCCATTGCAGAGCAGTTTAAACAAAAGAAACCACCTTCTAAGATTCTTAGTACACACTGTTACTGCTACTTGGCTGCTAGTCACTTCAAGGTGAAATACACTTAACAAAAAAAACCAATGTTTATTGTATTAAGAAAATTAACTCAGTTGGCAAAAGATGTAGCACTTAAGGTAACTTTGTTTAGGCACCTTGGCAATCAACAAATTGGCATTATGAATTAAAGATGATCAACCTCTTCTCTATTTTGCCACTGTTTCTCTGCTTCAGTAGGTGTGTGTGGTGATGTTTTCCTTTATTTCCTATACTTAATGATTTTTTTGTCCAGCCTGAGGGAATGGGAAGGTGCTGCCCATGTAGCCCACACCTGGGAGTTGTTGCTAGGCATGGTGAGCCCTTGATAACAGTGATATCTTCTCAGACCTCTAGTGAGGGATGTCTGTTGGTTGGACTCTACAATTTTTATTATCAACCGGGGAGTTTCTTTATACAGCTTATAAACCATTGTTTTAAAATATTTATTTTTGGATTTTTATTTGTATGTGTGGTTCCCATGATGTGACAAGTCCTGGGAAAAATGCCAGCTTACATGGCCCAGGAGAGACCTTGTCATACTGTAATTACACATGATTCAGATTGCAAGAGAAGGTTTCTCTGTTCATTGGGAGTAGTTAGTTGTAAGTTCAAGCAACACCAAACATCCCACTTAATCCTGGGACTTATTGTTTTAGCTTATAAAATCTTTCAAAATGATGAGGATAAATGTTGAATAAGAATGCCAGGTACTTCTAGTGCCTTTTAAGGTGTTATGCTTTGCTATATTGTAGGTAATAAGTGATAATATATAATTTCACCCATTGGAAATGGGAGAAATGGCAAATGTCCATTTGAGAAAAATCTGAGTATGAACTATTTGAAAGAAGTGCTCATACTTTAAATTAAACTACAAATGGCTATTAACAGTGACAAGTTAAATCGCTTTCACTAGATACAGTAGCTGATAAACAGACATGAACCTTAGAGCTGAGCATGAACTGCTCAGCTATGAAGATGGATGAGTCCTTAGTTTTGTAAATCTTTGGTTTAGAAAAGCAAATTGATTTTCAGGTTGGTTTCCTTATGAGAATTTGTAGAGGAAGACATTACAGTATTTTCAACTTGTTGCCGAATGAGAGATATACCATTTCAGAACTGAGCTAATTGGATTTGAATTAATGAGGTTTTACTCTGTCACAAAGATGTGTGGGAGACCTTCAATGCAAAACTACTGGTATAAGGTCCTAGAGAAAGAGATTTTTGATGAAATAATGAAGCCTGGAATATCTATTAGCCAATACAGAATAGCCAGGTCAGTGTGTGATGCAGTGTTAAACTATCTACTTGCAAGAAAAGACTATATCATATTTATTAGTATCAAAGATTTATTCTAGTCTGATATGACTGAAATGGATGGTCACATTCAAAACATTTCATTTAAAATATTAATGTTTTCATTTTCAGTATGATGTGAATTTCAGTGAACTTTCTTTCCAATTACAGCCATCCTTACTATTGCAATCTGTTCCATTGACATTTATGATATGAAATCTGTTGTTTATTATTTTATGTAAGCTAATTTGGCCACTGGTATGATTTGATAGCTTTTTATTTGCAGCTTTTAGTCCTTTGGGCAGATAAAGCATAATAAATCTACTCTTTCAACTTTCCTTGGATTTAAGTATGTGAGTCTAGCTTTATTGCATAGTTCTGACCTGTGTTTTGAAATAATTTGAATAACTTTTTGTTAAGGTGCCTAATATTTGAGGACTTACTAATTGCAGATTTTGCATGTGCCTGATACATTTAAAAAGTATAAGAAAAAAATGAAGATGAGACTAGTGTGATTTGTGTGGGGTCCTGATTGGAATTAAGATGACCAGTGAGAAAGGTTTTAGTACTTGTCATTTTGAAGTAACAAAAAGTATAATTTTCTAAGGTACTTAAAAGCTGAATTGGTGGAAATCTCATATGCTGTCGGTAAGAATGTAATTTGTGCATGGACATTTTGGAGGGCACCTGGCAAAATCTGTTAAGATTTGTAATGTTTATACCCTTTAACCCAAAAAATTTACTTCTAGGAATTTTCTGACAGATTTGACTTCACAAGTACACAAAGATACAGCATATTTCTTGTGTCTACTTTGTAATAGCAAAACTTTGGAAGCAAGCCATATAGGGACCTCAATTGAGCGCAATAAATGATGATAATCTATAAAAAGTGATAAGTGTATAGGTGCTGGAAAATCTTAAAGAGGTATTAAGTAAAATAAGGCAATTTGCTAAATCTATGAGATCCCATTTAAGAACTGTGCCACACAGATAAAAAGTAAATATATGTATGCATATGTGTATAAATAAATTTGGATATGTGGACACCAAACTCTTACCAGTAGTTTTTTTCACTGGGTGCTTGTGCTGTTGATCAGGATGGGATTTTATTTTTGTAGTGTTTGATTTGGGAAAAAGTTAAATCCACATATTTAAAACATCACAGTGAGTACACATTATGTAAGATGGAAAGAAAGAATATAGCACCAATATAGAATATTGTGTTTTAAACAGATATTAGCATGTAACTATGTTAAGAGTGATCTTTATTTTGGGTAGATATTGTTGCTTAATAGTTAAGAGGAATTACAGTCAGGAATTAGACTTGTATTCCAACACTGGTTTAAGAGATTCCTTGGGTGATCTTGGCAGCTTATTTCTTTCTCTGTTTTCTTGTTTGTGTTATGGGAATAATGATGGAACTAAAATTTCATAAATGGAAGAATAAGTACAAATCATTTATTCTTAAACTCATTGAACTTCAGACCTTTTTATAAGTTAAGGACTTCAAAGGGCTTTTCTGTGAAAACTGGATCTATTCGTTTTAAGGTATTAAAATTTCAAACTGAGACTTTTTAAAACAAATTACAAGTTGTTTAAAGATAAAAATAATCAACCCCATTACCTGTTAACATAAATCTAATTTTAATGAAAAATAAATATTTTCTAAAACAACAACAACAACAACAAAATCAGTGAGAAGAGTGGCATTTATTTATTTAAAACAATCTCTTTAATGTCTAGTTTAATAAAAGATAAGTGAATCCTCATATCTGTTTCTATATTCAGCCAGTGTGTTATCATATATGGTGTACCCTCTGGAAAACACTATATGAGTGACAGAATTAGAATGAAAAAGGAACATCTTAGGGTTATCATGAAAATAGTTTTAACTTGGCTAATCACCTGAACAGGTCTCAGTGACACCAAAGTCCCCAGATCACACTCTGAGAACAGCTGATATAAAATATTCAGCATGCAGTCTGACATAGGTAGATTGCCCAATATGTGCATGAAAGCTGACTCTTTTTTAAGCATTATTGTTGCTAATGAAAA